CGCGCGATTGCTCTTTTTGTAATAACAGAACTTTTCATAACTTCAACATTTTCCTTCGTCACATTACTCGCTATCATTCATCCGAACCACAATTTCGATTAACATGTAATTTATCAAATACATGTGGCGTTTTATACAAAACATTTTCAGCATACAGAGCACACATTCAGCGTCACCATAAACATTTATTAGAACAAAACTTAGATCAACTTGATGATGAAACTTTCCATTTTCAAAATAACAACAATGACGATAATGGCAATACACCACAAAACCAACCATCAACAGCATCGGCCGTTTTCGCCGCCCTCATTGACAATGACGACGATGACATTTTGTACGATGATAACCAAAAATCAGATGAAGTTGTTAGTCCAAAACAAAGAGAAACAACAACAATCGAATCAGTTCAAAAACAATACACTCAGTTTTTACTAGAACTGAGAGAAGAACATTTACTTCCTCAGAATGTGATCCACTCAATAACAAGCAACACAATCATTCTCCTTGATACAATTAAAGAACTCGTCGAAGAAAACCTAAAAGAAGAACGTCGATCATTTGAACGACAACGCCAAGTAACGACAACAACAATGTCTCCTCCTGATACATCTTGTATTTTTCGAAATACAATTAATCGAGTTAGTGAAGTAATTGAAGCAACAACAAAAAGTGAATATCGTTTCATCGAATTATGTAAACGATTTTTTAATTATTGTCCACCAAAAGAGTTATCACTTTTAAACACACCTCCGTCGTTAACAATGACAACCACATCGACAAAAAAATTGAGAGAAGACAAATTTTATTATGTTTCTATTAAAGAATCGTTAAGAAATATCTTTAGTAAAGACGAAATGATTCCACTTCTAATCGACAACATTGAACAACAGGAACAGAAGGTCAGAAATGATCCAGATCTGATGTATTCTTTTCGTCACGGTCGTTTCGGGCGCAACACAGATCCAAATTTGCTCTTAATTCAATTGTACACAGATGGAGTGGGCCTCACTAATCCCATAGGCCCGAAGAAAGATCAGCACAAAATTACTCTGGTATATTTTTTATTGGAAGATATACCAGACATATTCCGATCATTGTTACAATGTATTAACCTCGTGGCTATTTGCTATACAAAATATCTGACCGATAATTCCAAGCTGAGAAAATTCTACGAACCGGTAGTAAAAGATTTAAACGAACTACAACATACCGGTTTGAAAATTCCTACAACATACGGTTCAATAATGTTTAAATTTTCCACAGTCGCTGCCGACAACCTTGCGGCTAATGAGCTTGGAGGTTTTCAGAAAACATTTTCACACGGAAATTTCTGTCGTCGATGTTTAATATCGTATGAAAATCGTAAAATTCCATTAACCGACTTATCCATTGTACAACGTGATGAAATCAAACATGATCGATATTTACAAGAAGTGCTAAACACAGTTAACAAAGCAAACATTTGTGGAGTAACAGGCTCCAGCCCATTGAATGAGCTTGATAATTTTCATCCTACCAAATCACTGCCGGGTGATATAATGCATGATTACCTTGAGGGTAAGACAGTTTTCTTTCTTACCAACATCTGTAAAAACTTATTTACTAGGTTAAGAAGTTTGACCCAATGAAGTTAATGATTGATCGAAACACTCTGCTGAAAAACAGACGTTTAGCCTGCAAAATGTGAACTTTAGAGGAAATTTTGTAATCTTAGGTTATAATGCCGTGCATGGGTGATCTTCTCCGGTGGCTTTTCTTTCATAAAGACTTAAAATTTACAGGAAAGAGCAAAAAGCTAAATATTCCGAAAACCGTATTGATTTATCGAACGATTTTGTAAACTTTTCGGTCCGCTACTTGGTATAAAAAAAATTTCTTCGTGACGGAGTACGGGCTTGAACATCGATCTGGAAGTTCGAATAAACTTATATTTTTTTGCACTTTTCGGAGCTTTTGGTCCCTTCTGGTTTCTGCTATTTTCTTTTATGACCAAGAGACGGCCAAAAAATGCCAGTAGCATAAATAAAACGGGAAGAGATACTAACGCCAAAGTTGTAAACTCAATTTACCCGAATAATACACTGATCCTCGCCAACCGGTTACGGATGAACTATCTTGAACTATCTGTATTTTTCCTCCATCCTGTTTGCTTTTGTTTCTTATAGGATCTTGTCCGATAATTATAATGGCAATGCTCAAAGAAGCCTCCAGATTAAAATTAATAACGTACGCTAAGATCCAAGACCGGATGGAAGCCTTTGTGTACGGTTTCATCGATTCCAGTGACGAACCTCCGGTAATCCAAATCAAGCATTTAAACAACGATTATATTACCGGGAGTGCTTCGCAAAAATTATTATTATGATTTCCTCTACAACTCTTTTTTGTTATGTTTCCAACTCTTAATTAGTTCTTCATTAGATGCGTCGTCAGCTGCTGCTCTACAACATATTTTTCTAGACCTCAGAAATAAAAAATTAGA